CAATAAGCATAAAACTTCTTAGCTAACTGTAACACAATTATAATATTTTAGGTTCATAACACTTTTTACCTAGACAAGGATTTAGTACACCCTCTAGTCTAATTGAAATATTTTGGAAAGATGGCTGGGTGCAGTGGCTCACATCTGCAATCCAAGCACTCTGGGAGGGTGAGAGGGGAGGATCTCTTGAGCTCAGAAGTTCAAGACCAGCCTGAGCAAGAGTGAGACCTTGTCTCTACTAAAACTAGAAAAATTAACCAAGTGTTGTGGTGGGCACACTCTTTCCCTGAATATTTCATTTGAGTATCTTTTCATGTATTCAGAATTATTCTGCAATATAATTTTTAATGGTTGTAAATTTTTTAACTTAATTTTTAATTAAAATCATAAATGTATACATTTATGGGGTACCATGTTATTGTTTGACATACAATGTGGAATGCTTAAATCAAACTGATTATAATATAATCATCACCTCATCACCTCACATATTTTTTGTGGCAAGATATTTAAAATTTAATCTTAGTTATTTTTAAATATACCCTTGAATTATGCATATTAGGTGACATCCCACCAAATGCCCTCCCTCCTCCCACCAATCGCCCTCTCTCCTCTTATTAATTGCCTCTCTTCTCCTCCTTGCTAGACTTGATTTGTGTTTTATCACACCTATGAGTGTGTGTTTATATATTGGTTTCATAATAGTATTGAGTACATTGGATAATTTTTTTCTATTCTTGAGATACTTTACTAAGAAGAATGTGTTCCAACTCCATCTAGGTAAACATAAAAGAACTTAAGTCTCCATCTTTTTATGGCTGAATAGTATTCCATGGTATACATATACCACAGTTTGTTAATCCATTTCCGGGTTAATGGACATTTGCCTTGCTCCCATGACTTGGCAATAATGAATTCAGCTGCAGTAAACATTCTGGTGCAAATATGTTTGTGGTAAAATGATTTTTGTTCTTTTGGGCAGATAGCTAGTAGTGGTAGTACAGGATCAAATGGAAGGTCAACTTTAAATTCCTTGAGGATTCTCTATACTTCTTTCCTTAAAGGTTATATTAGTTTGTAATTCCACTAGCAGTGTAGAAGTGTTCCCTTCTCTCCACATCCACACCAGAATCTGCAGTTTTAGGACTTTGGGAGGTGAGCTAATCTTACTGGAGTTAGGTGCTATCTCAAAGTGGTTTCGATTTGCATTTCTCCGATGATTAAGGATGATGAGTATTTTTTCATGTGTTTGTTGGCCATTCTGTCATTTTCAGAGAAGTTTCTGTTCAAGTCCCTTGTCCACAAATAAATGGAGTTGTTTGTTCTTTTCTTATTGATTAATTTGAGTTCTCTGTAGATTCTAGTTATCAGACCTTTATCAGAAACATAATATGCAAAAATCTTCTCCCATTCTGAAGGCTGTCTGTTTGCTTTACCTGCAGTGTCCATGGCTGTGCAGAAGCTTTTTAGCTTGATCAAATCCCAGTAGTTTATTTTTGGTGTTGCTACCATTGCCAGGGGTTGGGGGGGGGGTCCTCCACATAAAATATTTTCCTAGGCCAATATCCAAGTGTTTCCCTTGTACTCTCTCCTAGTATTTTTAGTTTCCTATCTTAAATTTAAATCTTTTATCCAGTGAGGATCAATTTGTGTTAGTGGTGAGAGGTATGTGTCCAGTTTCAGTCTTCTACAGGTTTCTAACCAATTCTGCCAGCACCATTTGTTAAATAGAGATTCTTTTCCCCAATGCATGTTTTCATTAGGCTTATAAGAGATCAAATGATGATATATGGCTGGGTTCATCTCTAGATTCTCTATTCTATTCCATAGATCTATATTTCTATTTTTGTGTTAGTACTATGCTGTTTTGATCACTATAGATTTGTAGTATAACCTGAAGTCTAGTAACGGGATGCCTCCAGATTTGTTTTTATTTTTAAGTATTGTAATGGCTATTCAGGGCTTTTTTCTGGTTCCATATAAAATGAAGTAATGTTTTTTCAATTTGTTGTAAAATATTTTATCATATAAGCATATCAGGTATTAAAACTACTTCCCATTGTTGAATAGAAGAGTCGGTAACAGATTTTTCTTTCTCGTAAACAATACTGTAATTGATAGCCTATAGCTCAGCCTTTAGTCACTTCCACAGAGAATCAACACCTATAGGCCCTTGGTAACATAATTGAATAAATGAATGAATTGATGATTAACTCAGAATTCTTTGCAAAAGAGAACTGATATAAGACCATGAGTATACGACATATAGTGCTTCCAGAAATGGTGAGCCAATTAGTACTCCTAACAGTACTGTGTGATGGTGCTCAGACTAAATATTACTTTTAAACAACATCAACAAAGTCATTGCTTGATTGCCAGATTCTGAATAACCACCAAAACATTAGTGGAAATGTTTTGGGAGCCTGTCAGGGAAATTCTGAGGTGATGATGGGGAAAGTGGCGCATGCGCCATCTGATGTACACTGCTCTCTTATGTTGGTTACACGAAGGCTAAATTCATCCTATACCTTAAGTCAGAGACTGGCAAAGTCTCACCTCCTGCCTGTTTTGTAAATACAGTTTTACTGGAGCACAGCCATACCCATTTGCTTACATGTTGCTGACAGCTGCTTTTATGCTACAACGGTAGAGTTGAATAGTCCCAACAGAGACTGGTCTGCAAAGCGTAAAATACTTATTATCTGACCCTTTACAAAATATGTTTGTCAACTGCTTCCTTAAATAAGCATTTTTTTAAAGTGAAATCAATGCTGTAACATAATAAATCAGCTAGTAAGCATTTACTGAACACTGTGAGGCATGCTGCCTACTCTCGAGAAAATTAAAATATAATTATGGAAACAAAGCAAGAATACATGTAAAAATCTGTTGCAAAAGGCATTGCCGCGTTAGGACTCAAGTCCTGTGATGAAGGATGCAAGTGTTAAAGGAGTCACAGATGTAGGGGGAAAGGTAGGATTGAAAAAATGTCAAAAAGCTGCTGAGAGATAGAACGTGAATTAGGCCAAGAATGAAAAGAAGAGTTTGTTTGAGAAAGAATAAAGAAGGCAGGTGTGGTGGCTCACACCTATAAACCTAGAAATCTGGAGGCTGAGGTGGGTGGATTGCTTGAGCTCAGAAATTCAAGACCAGAAAAAGTGAGAGCCTATCTCTAATAAAAATAGAAAAAATGATCTGAGATGTTGTGGGTGTGGCAGGCACTGTAGTCACAACTATTCAGGAAGCTGAGGTAGGAGGATCACTTGAACCTGGGAGTTAGAGGTTGCTGTGGAGCTAGACTGACACCATGGCATTCTGCCAAGGGCAATAGAGTGAGATTCTATCTCAAAAAAATGAAAGGAAAGGCAAAAAGACTTCTTCTAGGATACATAGGTAGATCTAGGACCAGAAACTGAGGACTGGGCCCTTTCCATCATATTACATCAACTCCACATACTTTTCCTCCCCCTCTTATTATGGTAAATATGCCTATAGGAGCAATAGGTTTAACAAGTAGTGTTTAACAAGAAATCTGTATTTCAGAAGGAAAAAATGTATTAATTGAAGTTCTCAGCATATTTCAAACCCATAGAAATGAAACAGTACCTTTCATGGGTAGCTTCATATTGAAATCATTGCACACTATTTCATCTAAGGCACCTGGAAAGGAGAACCTGAAACCTACAGGCTAGATCTTCAAACAAAAAGGGGAAGAAAGAACAGATTCAGAATGAACAATATCAAAAAGTTTTACATATTGCTCTAAGTTGACAATCGAAAGTCTATCGCAGGCGTCCTCAAACTACGGCCAGTGGGCCACATACAGCCCACCTAGGACATTTATCTGGCCCAGTGGGTGTTTTTGCTGCAGCTGCCTGTCCTGCTTAGCAGCTACTCATCCCGGGGCCCGCAGTCCAGCCCTCTAATAGTCTGAGGGACAGTGAACTGGCCCCCTGTTTAAAAAGTTTGAGTACCCCTGGATTGCATATGAGCCTATATTCAGAAATCAAAATTTTAAAAATGTATGGATTTTTCTATACAGTCATTATATGACAAATGAATTCTTCATTTTTCAGACATGTTTCTTGAGAATAGTTTGATTTACAGAAATCAATTTGTATACATGTTTCTATAGAATGGCATACACCATATCTTTCATGTCTTCTTAGAAGCTAAAGAATTTATTTTCTAAGAGAAAAAAGTAAATTTACTAGTGTGTGTGTGTGTGTGTGTACATAAATCTATACATACACAGTTATATGTATGGAGATGAAGGCAAACGTCCATCAGTACATGCAGGTGTCCTATGAATGTGAGATTATATATATATTCCATATAATTTTAAAATATAGCTTTTACTGGAAAATGAGTCATAAGACCACTAAAATCAAGGCTTCTACTGTCTGCTTATTCTTCAATGGTAGGCAGCAACAATTCAGGTTATTCTTCCCTGTGAATAAGAGGGTTTTTATGCTGACTCAGTGAAACCCCCGTTGTCTTCAGTGTTTTGTTTTTTTAATAAAACACAGGATATGGGGAAAATAGTATCCACCCTCAAGTAACTGTGATTGTAAATCACAGAAGCATAGGCTCCTAGAAGTGGGGGAAATCTAGGGATCATCTTGTTGAAAATATTCCTTATAATGACAAGGAGCGTCTCAGGATTCTGTTGACTATTCTTTTTTTTTTTTTTTTTTTTGAGACAGAGCCTCAAGCTGTCCCCCTGGGTAGAGTGCTGTGGCATTACAGCTCACAGCAACCTCCAACTCCTGGGCTCAAGCGATTCTCCTGCCTCAGCCTCCCAAGTAGCTGGGACCACAGGCGCCCGCCACAACGCCCGGCTATTTTTTGGTTGCAGCCATCATTGTTGTTTGGCGGGTCCGGGCTGGGGTTTCAAACCCGCCACCCTAGGTGTACGTGGCTGGCGCCTTAGCTGGTTGAGCTATAGGCGCCGAGCCTCTGTTGACTATTCTAATGAGGTTTTATTTGTATTCGAGCAGGAATACGTGGACTCCAATAAATACATCGAGCACCTACTCACTCAACTCGAGGAGCAACACAGAAGTCTCTGGAGGTCAGTTAAACTCTTGTCTTGTTGTTTGCCTGGGTAGCAGCCTCTATAGTTGTGCTGATTTAAAATATTTCAGTTAGACCAGAGGGTAGTCTTTGTTGAAGTGAAAACTGTTATGATTCTAAGGCACCATAGTCTCAGAAGGGCACACTTGTCATTCTGTGGAAACTAGAAACCATATTCTCTGATCCTTGCCCATGTAAAGATTTTTTTTATTTATTTCAAAAGTAGAACATTTCTGCTTAAAAGTTTGGATTCTCTCTTATTAAAGGGAAATATTTTAAGGACGCTGTTCTATAGTTTCTAACGTTTCGTTTTTGTTCTACATGTGGGTTCCTACATGAGGTGAGGAAATTACCTGAGAATATCTGTGCAGGTACATTGGAAATGTAGATTAATATAATAAAGTCATATTCCCAAGTTATTCATTTCCTAGGGCCTCTTAGGAATTGAGACTGGCGAAGACGGTTGTAATATCATTATTTAGCTTTTTAGGGCCCATGCGGTTATGTTTACTGATCCTACTATATAGTTTGAATTCCTTTTTCTAAATTCCAATAGCTCTTGCTTTTTGAAATAAATATGCTAGTGCTTAGTTACATGATGCTTCACAAAGTACTGAAATGGTTTAATGTCATTACCTGTGTCTCAACAAGCCCGAGTCAGCCCCTAAAGTCCTTTATTTCTTTTTACCTCCTCATAGCATGGAGGAGGGTGCTCTCTGCACACAGAGATGGCAGGTAAATATTTACTAACTCTGTGGCCTCATCCAAATCCATCAGCATCTGAGCTCTGTACCAGACCACAGTGGCCCCTTTTCATGCATCATTGTGAGAAATTCCAACAACCTCAAAAATTCTTTCTCCCAAGAACTTCTAGTTCTTTAATAAAGTGCTGTATACTTTAATTTGCTCTCTTATATTAGTTTTCCTATTGAGTATAGATCACTGGTTATAGGAATAGAAAATATTCTATTTCTATACATAGAAAGCCTGCTGGTAAGATACAACAAAAGTTCAATTAAGTCTGTTTGCCAGTAAAAGACATGTAACTTGGTGCCATGCATGCTAGATTTATTTTTGAGAACTATAACCTGGTTTTTCATCTGTGAGTCAGTGTATTATTTTAATAAAATCAGCAATAATGCATTGATGGTTATATTTTTTAAATTATAGCTTCCATAGATCTATTGGAAAATATATTTTTAAAACTAATTGACATATAACATTTTCAAGTGTTTGTACAGAATATTTTGTTTTCTCTATCTTTCAAGAGAAAAATAGAGAAAAATGATGAATAGCATTAGATGAATGAAATTTCATTTGGTCAATAAGTATATCTTATACATATCATTGTGGAGGAGTAATGGTTTCATAGGTGCTTTAAACCAAAGGAATCTGCACTGAAAAGGCAATATTTTTCCTACTTTCTTGAGGTAGCTAATGAAAACCTTGGTTTTTCTATGATATGATTAAATTGAAATCCCATTTCAGGCATGGACTTAACCTAACACAAAGTAAGAACTCAGAATTTTGTGTACAGTCACTTCCATTGACCTTCAGAAATGAAATTATTACCATTGAAGAAGCAAAGCCTTATATATAGTGTCAGAGGATCTAATAAAAAAACTCCATTTGAATAACAATACAAGGCAATAACGGCATTTGGATGGACAGAATAACTACCAGTAAGAAAATGGAAATGGAAGTATTGAAAAGAAAATGAACCCCAATAATAGCAGATTTATATACTATTTATTGAATCTTGAAATTACATTTGATTATATTTTTGCAAACAGGTCCTGACTTGACTGAGTTAAAGTGACAGGTTGTGACTTAAAGTGGTAGTTATTACAAATCTCACTATAGCTGTAGCCAAATTGCTGGTGAAAAGTATGTGAGTGACAATGAACAGTGTGGGAACTCCTTTATAGTTTTGATTAAATTTTTAAATGCTTATTCTTGAGTTAGGATAGAATCTATAGTGTACAGAGGATGACGGGAATAGCATGTCATGTTCACAGGCCGGACCACATTGTCTGAAGTTAAAAAAACATGTTTCGGTAAATCAGTATAGGCTCCTTCTGATTTTATTAATCTTTGATTTGTGGCTGCTATGATTATTCTGGAGTGGTCTGTCTGTCATTGCTGCTGATATTAACTGATATTCCCTTCTATTAACTGATGGCTTTCCATTTTTACTTGAGCTAACTTATAACTTAAGAGAGACAAGTTCTGAATATTTAGATTTTCCAGTAATAATTATTGTCAACATTAATTTGAGATTGATCAAAAGCATGGTTGGCACAAGGTATTACCATTTGCTAAATAAAAAGAATTGAGCGAATTGGTGCCAGAATTTAAGAGTTTCCTTTCTTTTTTTTTTTTTTTTTGAGACAGAGCCTCAAGCTGTCCCCCTGGGTAGAGTGCGGTGGCATTACAGCTCACAGCAACCTCCAACTCCTGGGCTCAAGCGAGTCTCCTGCCTCCGCCTCCCAAGTAGCTGGGACCACAGGCGCCCGCCACAACGCCTGGCTATTTTTTGGTTGCAGCCGTCATTGTTGTTTGGCGGGTCCGGGCTGGGGATTCGAACCCGCCACCTTAGGTGTACGTGGCTGGCGCCTTAGCCGGTTGAGCTATAGGCGCCGAGCCCAAGAGTTTCCTTTCTTTATGGAGGGAGCTGCTAGTCTAATCAATTTAGGTTGTTCCTTACAGCATAAGCATCTGCTGTGACCCAAAAATATGTTGTAATCACATTTAAGATAACCAGTTATTTTGAGGTCCTGTCTAGTATTCCACTGAAATAGACCTATAATCTATCTCTGGGTTTTTATGTTGCAAAAGAATTTGTAGAGTTCAAAGATAGCTGTCTAGCAATGAGTAGGCCTTTAGCTTAACTGTCTTTTCAACACCAACAAATCCTTTCCAAAGAAGAAAACTTCTGTGAATTCATCTAAAGAAGAGAATAGATCAGAATCTAGAATTTAGTCTAAGATGTAAACATTAGTCCCAGTGGGTTTAATTTGTTCTGTATCTCCCTGATTGATTAAAAAAAAAAAAAATACCCAGTGACACTGTGTATACTGCTTGATATTGAAACACAGACATACTTTTTAGTATCATTTATTTGTTCTAATGTGGAAAGTTAGCATTAGAAGAAAAAGGATTTTTTGTCCTTGATGATTTTTATCATTTGTTACTATTTCTGATTTGGCTAAATATACTTGTGACTGACAAGCAACATGGTAAAAAACAACTGCGGAGTCTGTCTTCTAACATTTGATGAAAATCTTTATCCATTTGCAGCCTCAAATTAAGAGTTTAGAATAAACATAGACAGCTGGAAAATACAAAGCAAACTCATGAATGCTTATGACATTGAAATTATACTTTCATGCCACAAATGTGAAATTATTCATGAAAAAATGGAAGCAGCATAATGTTGTAATAATGGAAAGAGGGATGAACTGGAGGTTTTGGGGATCAAACTGGCGTTGGATAACATCTTGGAGAATGTTTCTGTATCTGTGAAAAGACGGTATCAATACAGCTAGTATTTAAGATTGCTGAACACTGGGAATATATGAAATAACATGTAGAATATGATATTGCATTTGTAGAACATATACAGACATGTTAGTCGTAATTAAATATTGTGCAATGATAAACTGTGTAATTCATGTATTATAGAAAGCATCAAAGGACATGTGAGTAGATATGACTAATATAACAGAGTTACCTAACAGCTTGCCAGTAACTCAACTAGGTAATGTCAAAGTATTCATTTCAGGTTTCTGTAAGTTAAATTGGTGATAATGTAACTGTGTGTTAATGAAGAATAGGAAGATCCAAATCAAATGCCAGGATCTGGTGAATGCAGAGTGTTAGCTGCTGACCCCCAAATGCTAGATCACTAAGTATCACTTAAACAAGCTACATCTGGACTACTCAACCAAGGCACTGTTAACATTTGGGGCCAGATGTTGTTTGTCATGGGGGTGGGGTTATTATGCTCATTGTAACATGTTTCAGGCCACCCCTAGCTTTTGTACTATCTGTTAATAATGTCCTCCAGTTGTAACAAAAAAAATGTCTCCAGGCATTTTCCAAGGATCCTTCAAGGAGCAAAATCATCTCTTCTCCCTGTTGAGAACCAGTGATCTAAATAAATCATTGGTATAAGCATTTTCCTAGTATATTCCAAGAAATACCAATTTTCTGAGTTGCTATGTTATAGATATTTTGAAAAAAATGAGGCTACTTATGGCGAAATAAGTTTGAAAAATTCTATATAAAACTTTTAACTTTAGAATTTCTCAGCCATTAATATTGCTAGTATGTGTTATGTATATGTAAATATGGTATATACAATATTATTTTGACTTGAAATCCCTAAATCCTATCTTTCTCATAGCATCTACTGTAAGGTTCCAAGGAACATAAATGGTGACCTTATAAGCATATAACATGTATGAACTGTACAGCCTCTTCCCTGTACACTCCACTGGTACGGGGCTTAGCAACTTGGTGACAGGGCATCTAGCAGAGAGGAGTCTAGGTTGTTAAAAAAGGGGAAAGTCAAACTGTAGAAAGGCCAGTCCCAAGTTCTTCACCATTTTCCTTGGGGATAGCCCAAGACTTAATACCAAGGTAATACCAAGAATCCAAACTAATGATTACAAACTATGTTTGCCTGAGTGAAGCACTTCATTTTTGCTTCCCAAGGGGGAAAAATGATGGTTCCAATATCACCAGGGGGAATAAAACACTTAGTAGAAAAGCTGAGGTCCTTGGTTAGAAGATAATCACACCCAGACAAAAAAAAGAAAAAAATCGATTATTTTAGCATCACACAATTCTTTAAAATAGAATTTCACCTTTGCTTTCATATTGCATATATTTCTTATTCTAAGAAAAGAAATAGGGAGAAAAATTGAGGAAAATCTTTGCTTTGATTCTCTTCATGATTCCAATGTTGCTTATCTAAGAGCCGCGAATGCTGAA